ACCGGCCCTGAAGTCAGGAGGACCTGAGTTCAAATCTGGCCTCAGACACATAACATTCACAAGCTGTGTGACTCTGGGCAAGTCACTTAACCCCAATTGCCTCACCAAAAAAAACAAATTATATACAGGATAAATAGGAAATAATCAACAGAGGGAAGTTAATAGAATTAAGAGGAATTGGGAAAGATTTCCTGTTGAAGGCTTCCTTTAGAAGGTGGGATTTTATATGAGATTTGAAGGATGCCAGGGAAGCCAGTAGGTGGAGGTCTGTTTCACTGGATCAAAGAGTGCATGGGAATATATTCAAGAGATGTTGCAAGAGTAAAATCAACAGCCTTGGCAACAGATTGGATGTGGGTTGGGTGATCAATAATGAAGAGTAGAGGATAACATTTAGATTTTGAGCCTGAAGGACTAGGAGGATGGTGCAATCCTTGGCAGTAATAAAGAGTTAAGGAAGGGAGGAAGATTTGAAAGAAAGATAAAGAGTTCAGTTTTGGACATGTCGAGTTAAAGATTTCTGTAGGACATCCAGTTCTAGATGTCTAATGGGCACTTGGAGATGTAAGACTGGAGGTCAACAGAGAGGTTAGAGCAAGACAAATAGATTTGAGAATCATTAGCATAGAGATAATAACTGAATCCATAGGAGATGAGATCACTAAACGAAATACTATAGTGAAGAGGACCCAAGACAGAAAGAGCCCAGTAGAATATTCACAGTTAGTTGTTGTTGTTTGTCCTTTGTTTTCAAAAGGATCAATGATATCAGGGGTGATGTCTTGGCTTGCACATGCTTTGGATTTAAGTGAGGCGGAGCTGCACGAAATCATGAGCCTCACTCTTTCTTCTGGAGTCATCCAAGTTCAGTAGCAAGACAAAAATCAAGACTATTGGCAATGGCCCAGGATGCCATGGGTGACCTTGGCATTTTCCATGTCTGACCAAACTCTAAGAACTCCACAGTGTAGCTAAGGATTGAGAAAAGGCCATTGGATTTGACATTTAAGAGATCTTTGGTAACTTTGGAGAGAACAGGTTTAGTTGAATAATGAGTTTGGAAGCCAGACTGTAGAGAATTAAAAAGAGAGTGAGAGGAGTGGAAGTAGAGGCACCTTTTGTAGATGGTCTTCTCTTTTTTCCCCCCTAATTTATCATTTATTTGTTTTTTTAAAATTGATTCTTTATGTTCATTTTTTAAATAAAATTTTGAGTTCCAAAATTTCTCCCTCTCTCCCTTCCCTCCCAACTCTCTAAGATGGTAAGTAATTTGATAGGTTGTATATGTGTAATCATGTAAAACATTTTCATATAGTCATGTTGTGAAAGAAAAAAACAGAACAAAACGAAAAAACATGAAAAAAATTTAAGTGAAAATAGTGTGCTTTGATCTGCATTTAGACCTCATCAGTTCTTTCTGTGGTTGTGGATAGAATTTTCCATCATGAGTCTTTTGTAATTGTCTTGGGTCACTGTATTGCTGAGAAGAGTTAAGTCAACCATAGTTGATCAGTAGACAGTCTGCCCAAGGAGTTTAGCTACAAAAGGGAGGGGAGATATGGACTGATAGTTATCAGAGACGGAAGGATTGATTGAGGGTTTTTTTGAGGATGGGGGAGACATGGGCATGTTTGTAGACAGTAGGAAAGTAGCCAGTGGACAAGGAGAGGTTGAAGATAATTAAAGAGTGGGAATAATAGAGGAGACAATCAGCAGGGGAAGATGGGATGAAATGGTATCATTTGTACAAGTAGATGGGTATGCATTGGTAAGGAGGAAGGCCATCTTGTCCCACGAAACAAGGGAGAAGGAGGAGATGGTGGTAGAGGGCATCTGAATGTTATAGGATGAGGAGGAGGGGGGAAATTGGGAGCTTTCTGTCAATGACCTCAATTTTTTTAGTGACATATGAGGCAAAGTTCTCAGCCGAGAGGGAGGGAAGAGGGTGAGTCACCAGAGGTTTGAGGAGAAATGAAAAGGTTTGGAAGAGCCCCGGTGATGAGTGGAATAATGAGTTAATTAGCAATGTGTGAAAGGATTGCCTGGCAGCTTTGAGGGGCCAGTTGAGATTATGTCACATAAATTTTTAGTGGACACAGTAAAGACAATCGCGTAATTTTCTCCTTTTCAATAGCACAACTCTTAAGGTTTTTACCTCACACTTCTCAAACTGGCAAAAATGATGAAGACAGAAATAGTTAGTATTAGAGGGACTATTGGAAGACAGGCATATTAATATACTGTTGGTGGTGCTGTGAATTGGTCTGACCGTTTTGTAAAACAGTTTGTTTGGTCCAGCAGAGCTTATCTTTAAATTTTTCTGTTCTTTAAAGTTACAATTGTAGTTTCTGTTTACTTAGTTTGAATACTGACTAGATAAAGTTTGGTTGTTCATGGTTTTCATGTTTCATTATTTGTGAACAAGGAACTCCAAAAGAGGAATAGTGGTTGGCACAATATTCAGAAGGGAACAGAAAGCACACATCCTCTGTATCAATAGGATTTTGTCTCCACTGGAGGGGTTGGGGGTGGAGGGATGAGGGGTTCAGAGCTTATATGAAAGAGAATCATTGATTTTTTTAAAATACGTATTTTTTAAAATAAACTTCTTAAAGTGGGATAAAAGCTAAATCTACAGGTTTTCCTTAGGTGAAGTAAGTCAATTTATATTGCTATCTGGAGAGGGCTAGGCTGTCAGGCAACACCACCTTCCCCATTGTTCTACTCTATGCCTGTGGAGAAAAATGCTTCTGGTGGGGTAGATCTGAGGGTGCTGACTAGACAGCAGGTCATCCCAGGTCATAAAGTTATTTTAAAACAATTCTTTGGCATACATATAATATTACCATTTAGTAAAAGCAAAAGCAAATTTGCATACTAATGAGATGGATGTGCTTGTTTATTTCTACATAAAGAATTAAATCTTGGAGGAATATTGGATACTGCAGAACACAGAGCATCTTCAACATTTTTCAGAGTTGATTGATATTTTGATTTTATAATCATCAATGCTGAGAACACTGCTTTGCATTAATACGTAGTACAAAATGGCTGAAGTATGTTTAGGACCATTTCAGAAATTATTGGAAGTTCTGTCCTAATCCCAAGCCAAAATTCATTTAATTATTTTGTATGTATAGTAAAAACACTGCAATTCATGACATATAATAGCCTCGAATATGAGCAGAGGTGCTTCTGGCAGCATTGTGTGGTATGACCTGGCAAAGTGCACATGTAGTGTGTTCAGAAGTAAGGCTGCAGTGAAGCTCCTTGATGGGCAAGCACTGCCAGAAACACCTTGGATTCATTATGTGTTTGATTTTGAATTAATTTTCGGTCATTGCACATTCAGAAACCTTTCACTGTTGCCAGATTTTTCTCGACTCCCACATTCATTTATGTGACCCCATATGGGATCAGGACCCACAGTTTAAGAAGCACTGCCAGCTTTCCTGCCTTTGTTTGCATTGTTTCCTATACCTGGAATGTCTTCCAATCATCTTTTTGTTTGTTGAATCCCTATCCAAATCAACTTGTCACCTCTATAAAGTCTTTCCTGATCCCCTCATTAATGTTTTTTAGTACCTTTAACCTCACAGACCCCTTTATTTTGCACCTAATGCATTTACTAGGCATATTTTGCATTGTAATTATCTGTGTACTGATCATAGCCCCTGATCAAACTATAAACTCCGTGAAGTTAATGTCATGAAAAATTTATATCTATGCCAGCATCTAGCCCAGTACTATGCCTAGAGTAAATATTTAATGTTCTTTGAATTGCATTAAATTATAAATCTATGATAAACATTTTGGTAATACCATTTATTAAAAGTATATTAAAAGAGGGTCACAGTAATCTGTGACTCTCTGAGAAAAGGCAAAGACTTCATTCATTTAAAATGTTCAGTTCTAGGTAAGTTCTAGTACTTACATGTTGTAAGTACTCCTGATTGTCTGGAAAGGGCTAATTTCTGCAACAGCTAATGAAAAGAGAAGGTACAATAATATGAAGGATACATACCTGTTTGACTCTGAGATGGTTTAGGGGCAGTCTTGTTCTGAGAAAGAGAAATGGAAAAGATGTCCCATAAGGTCCTATATTGAATGCTTATGGAAAGCAATGAGGAAGAAAGACCTGTACACGGAAATTTAGGAGTTAAATCAAGGTTAAATCCCTTGCATATTTTATTTGTGCTTTTCTTTTCTTTTTAAATGGTGGAAGTGAGAAGTGACAGAGAAATGTATCCACAGTTCTATTACCATTATATTAATCCTTAAAGTCAATAGGACAGGGGTTCTTAATCTTAACATTTTTATGTTATGAATCCCTTTGACAGTCTGAAAGTGAAGCTTGCAAACCCCTTCTCAGAATTTTGTTTTTTAAATAATTGAAGAAAATGCTAAATTTCACTTAGAGTTTTGTGAAAATATGTATTTTTTTTTCCCGTCCAAGCTCTGGTCCGTGGACTCAGGTTAAGAACCTCTGTGGCAGGACACAGGTTTGGGCATCACGGATTCAGGAGTTCGTTCTCCTGCTACACCCACGCACCTACCGCCCCCACCCAGCTGGCTCCGCCCCCTGGAGGGCGGGGCAAACGGTGAAAGGGGGCGGGCAAACCTCAAACCGCGTGCACCTGCGCTCCCACTTTCTCGGGTGAGTTGGGGGCGTGGGAAGGGAGACGATGACCTGTGGCCACAGGGATGCAAACAAGAAGAGGTAGGGAGGGAAGTAGTGTAGTCAAAACCCCGGGGGTGGGGGGGAAGGGGAAATCGTGTGTGTGTGTGTGTGTCTGTGTGTGTGTCTGTGTCTGTGTCTGTGTGTGTGTGTGTGTGTCTCTGTGTAGGGGTGCGGGCGGCGCGAGGCCCCGGGAGCCGCCCACTACGCCCGGGACGCCTCGCTGGGCCTGGGGGAGGGGGGACGATGGGAGACCCGGGAGGTAGCGGAGGGAGGAGGGGGGAAGTCTCGCGAGATCCCGCGGCGGCGGCGGCGGCGACGGCGGCGTCGGCCGGGGGTGGCAGGGGAGGTGAGTTGGAGGCGGCGGCAGCGGCGGTGAAGGGCTGGGGTGGGGGCGAGCGACGCGGCCCGGGAGGTGCGCGGGGGTTCTCACCGCCCGTGGCCTAGGCGGCGTGGGGGTGGCGTGGGCCGGGGAGGGGCGCCAATTACCCTGCTTCCCTCGTGGCGGTGCCGCCCTCCGCCCCCACTCGAGTCCCCTCCCTCCTTTCCTCTCTCCCTCGGCGGGACCCTGAGACGGGGGCGCTGACCCCCAGTATCTCCCCTGCTCTTACTGTACCCCGATCTCCGGGGATTGGGCCTCCCCGCGGGCCCCCTCGCCCGCCCCTCCCCTTTCCGTGCCTCGGTGCTGCCGACACCCCGTCTGTAAGGGGGGAGGGGGCTCCCAGACCCGGGGCGGCCCCCTCCCTCCGACACCCTATCACATCTCAGTGAGGGTCACAAACTTTTTTGGTAAATGACCTCAAGCTGCGTTAAATTTGTAGGAGATTCGGACTTGGACGTGTGATTTCACTGGTATAGGGAACTCCTTGGTGAGGAAACTCCCTCTTCCAGTTCAGGTCGGCACCTTCTCTGCAACATTTGTGTGTATTTATATAAATGTATATATGCATTTTCAAGTATATACATATAAATATACACATACACCCCTATTTTTGTACGTAGTCTTAGGTTACCCAAGTCACATTATGTATTTGCAGTGGGAGTTGAACCTAGGTCTTCCTGGCTCCAAGGCCATTCTGGATCAAGCGCTATTATTGTCATTATTAACTTTATGGGCAACACCCTCGATCATTTCATCGACTGCACTACAGAGAATTGACTCTCGGCAGGACGGCTCACAGCTGCACAGGATTATGCCCAGGTTGTTTGCTCAGAGGTAGTAGACTTTTCCTCAACAACCAAGCAGGGTCTGAAAGCAGCTTCTTTATCTGATCTGGGTTCTTTGAAATCCAGCCAAAACCATACCAGTGTTGGCATCCTTTGCCGACCCCCCCCCCCCCCCCCCCCCCCCCCGCCCTCCCCAGGGATTAAGTAGAAATGGACAAGATTTGTAGGGGACTGTTGGTGATTTCGATAACTGGGACTTGGAGGAAGGGAGTCTATAAAGTGGAATTCAACAGAAACCCCCAGCAAATGAAATGGAAAAATTTCCCAGCTTTTTTCACATCTTTTGAATAATCTTTATCTCAGTTTTATGTTACCTTTTTGTTAGGGAGTAACAGAAGAGAATGAGCTGGCATTGGTAAGAGTGGTGGTGGTTTGTTTTTTTTTTTAAGTCTCCATAATGAAAAGGCTTACATAAATGTTCAAAAATTGTTTAGAGTCCTTTTCTGTTGCCTCTGTAGGGCCGACTTAGAAAAGGCCCATCTTGGTACATTGGCATAATATTTACTGGTATCTACCATAGAGACTGGAAAGTTATCTCCTATAACATTTGGCTTAGTGGAAATCCTTTCTTAATGATGTTAAGTATTTTGAGACTTAAGTGATTGGAGATAGAACAAGGAGAGAACCACAACATAAATTTAAATTGTCAAATTAAAATCCAAATTCATGCAATTGCTTATTTTAAAAATTGTGTTCCTAGTGAATATAATAAAGTTTTTACACCTTTCCTGACTTTGTTGATGGGGAAAAATAAAAAAAAAAGGTAAAATTAAACAAGTTCATCTGATGATGGTGATATTTATACAATTTAAATATTTAAATCTAAATTGGAAAGTTTCTATTTTTGAAACAGAATAAGTTGCTGCTTGCTTGAAGATGTTTATTATTCATTGACTTGATAATTTTTGTATCTATGTTGTTGCCAATATAGATATTTTAAGTAGTGTACAGATAAATTGAATACTTTTGAGTTGGAAAGTAATTGAAGTTGAGAGCCATTTATTTCCATTACTTCTAGCTGGCCAGTACCATTCTAACTGAATGAGGAAGGGAGGGCAGGAGAGTGTCATATTACTACTTCTACTTATGCCAGTTTCAACATTAGTCAAATGATAATTTTGTGAAAGTAATCACAGCACACTGATAAAGGGATAGGACAGGCATCAAACTGGGAGATATGGTTAACTTTACAAATTTTCATGGTAATCTTTCTGTGTAGTCTACAAAACATTTCAGTAAGTATATCCAGGTATATAGAAGAGAAACTGCCCAAAACACATTTGCTTTGTGTTGATATGTAATATTTACAGACATGGCACCTGAAATAGATCTCAGTGTTCTGAAGATTTCCTGTAGCATTTTCCCTCCCTTATATCTATTAAACAGTTGTTTTCAGTGTTTGTAGATGTGTGAACCATTTTGGAAAACATTCAGAAGAAAATAAAGTACTTAGTAACTTCATGGAAGAAATGTGTCACTAATATATTTTGGGGTAAAACTAGTGGAGAAGTGAATTTATTTTTTCATTTTCAAAAATCCAGAGACTTCTAGGACATTAACAAATGTACATATTCTTAGATACTGAATTACCCTTTCAAGACTGTTTTTGAAACTAGTATTAAGTGATTCACAGTTCATTTTTCTTTTTTATTTTTTTAAATGAAAATTGTAGGTCATAGATTTAGAGCTGGAAGGGACCTTAAAGATCAGCTTCTTGGATCTAATTTGCGGATGAGGAAATTTTGTCCTGGAAAAATTAGGTGTTTTGCCCAGGGGCATAGAGGGAGTAAGTGGCAGAGCCAGAATTCGAACCTAATTCTTCTGAGTGTTCTTTCCAATGCACTAAGAACCAAGTGTTTTGTTTTTAATCTGTCAGAAGCACATAATCCACAGGAGGTTTTGTGGTCTTTGGGTGCTTCAGCTTCTGGTTTCATTCTTATTCTAGTAATGCTTGTAAATAATTTTAATGAAGTTTACATGTACCCCTCAACCCAAATTACTAGATATTCCTTTACTTAATGCTGCTTCTTTTAATAGGCTCTCTTTGCTATCCCAACCCCATTCCTGTTCCTACCAAAGAACCAAACTCACCAACAGTAAAAGATATATATTTGGAGGGGGGAAGAAGGTACAAATGATATAATTTCAGAACTGAGAGGGACCTTAAAGATTATCTAGTCCTGGTCCCTTATTGTACAGGTGATGGAAATCAAAGTTAAGATTAGTGGTGAGCCAGAATTAGGACCACATATGAGGTACAGTGAATGAGGTCCTAACCCATTTAAGAAAGAGATTATCAATATTAATACCAAATAAAATTCTTGCCATAAAGGCTAATGTAGAAATTCAGAAGGATAATTTATTTAACTATACCTTTAACTTCTGCCTTTTCACATCTCTCTTAGTCAATCCATAGCTCAGCATTTTAGCTGAGTTGGAATCTTTGGAGCATCTGCATGATTTTTTTCTAGATGGCATCCCGTTCCTTTACATCCACCAAATGAATCAATCGCTAAGCATTTATTAAGCACCTACCTGTACTTGGCACTGTGCTAGAGACATAAAGATAAATGTGAAGCAGTATGGCTTGTAGATACAAAGATACACTTATATACAAAATATGTATGCTGATTTTGGAGCAAGGAGGGATACTAGTAGCTAGGGGAATTGGGAAAAGATTCACATAAAAGGTATTGTCTGAGCTGAGTCCTTAAGGAAATTAGGGAGGTGAGATGGGATTGTGATCCAGTCTTCAGGGGCAGCCAGTGTACAGGCTAGAAATGAAATGCCATGGGTAAGGAGCAGTAAGACCATAGAGTTGTGTGAAGGGGGATATTATATGAGATTGGAAAGGTAGGTTAGGGACAGATTGTTAAGGGCATTAAATGCAAAACCAGAGTTTGTGTTTGGCACTAGACATTAGGGAGCTGCTGGAGTCACTTTGTCTTTGTGAATTTCAAATAAGAGAACTTATCACACAGCTTTCTTAAAGGTATAATAAGAGAAATTTTAAGTAATGAATACATTGGCCTGGTAGTCTGAAAAATACCTACTCACTGCTGTTACGATTTCCTTATTCATAGGAATCAGTAAACCTTTATTAAGCACCTACTTTGTACCCAGGCACTGCTGATTGCTTGGGTTACAAGCACGGTGGTGAAATAGTCTGCCCTCAAAGACCTTCCGTTCTACTGGGGTGGTACAATTTGTTCACCTTTAAATACATAGTTATTTGGGGGGGAGCACTAACCAGTAGGAAAGGCTTCATAAAGTCCTGGAGGGCCCTTTTCTTTTCCCTTTTCTCTCCTGCCTATAGGCAAGTTGGATTTTTGTACCTAACTAATTATGTTGTTCCCTCCTTGAGCCAACTCTGATGAGAGTAAGGTTCAGGTGGTGCTCATCTCCCTCCCTTCTTTCCCTCTGCTGTGGTGGGTTTTTGTGCCTTTTACTCTAGTGTACTTTACCCTTGTCTGCCTCCTTTCCTTTTCTCCCAGTGCAGTCCCTTGGTTGGATCAGATTAATCCACTTGCTTGGATCCATTTAACCCACTTGATTGGATTTTTCTTTCCGTTGTGTCGAAGTCAATTTGTACCCACCCCCTTTAGGTATACCTCTTTGGAGTGGTGTAGTAACAATGCAGTTCTCAAGAGTTGCAGGTGTCATCTTCCCTTGCAGGGCTGTATCCCAAAGAGATTATAAAAATGGGAAAAGGACCCACATATACAAAAATATTTATAGCAGCTCTTTCTGTGGTGGCAAAGAATTGGAAATTGAGGGGATGCTCATCAGTTGGGGAATAGTATATGAATGTAATGGAATATTATTGTGCTATAAGAAATGATGAGCAGGCAGACTTCAGAAAAACCTGGAAAGACTTGTATGGACTGATGCCGAGTGAAATGAGGAGAACCAGGAGAACGTTGTACTCAGTAACAGCCACGTTGTGCAATGACTAACGTTGATAGATTTAGCCCTTCTCAGCAATGCAAGGAGAAAGAACTGTGGAGTTTGAATGCAGATTGAAGCATACTATTTGCTATTTTTTTTCTTCTATTTTGTTTTGTTTTCTCTTTCTGGTGGTTCCTCCTACTGGTTCTAATTCTTCCTTACATCATCACTAATGTAAAAATATGTTTAATAGGAATGTATATGTAGACCTATGTCAGATTGCATGCCATCTTGGGGAGGGACAGGGAGAAAAATTTAAAACTCAAAAGCTTATGGAAGTGATTGTTGATAAATCAAAATAAATTAATAAAAAAAACCCATAAATTCCTGGAGGACATCCTGAGCAAAAGCATTGAAAAGAGGAGCAGGTAAAGCAACTGGAGAATGAACGGTTAGGGCAGTAGCACTTAGTCTCTGTGGCTTATACTTGTTTTAGAAAAATCCCTGACATGTTTAAAAACTGATTTTCAAGGCTAGTCTAATGCCAGCTATTTGGATAGGGACTCTGAAGACCTAGGATTTGTTAAAGGCTGTTAAGAGGCCCACTGAACTTGTCTTTTTGAGTTGTCATGTTTTGCAGAAACACTGGATCCAGAGCATGCAGGAGGCCCTGAATGTGTCAAGGACAAAGCCCCCTGCAGCTGACATAATTTGTTGTTTTCACCCACAAGCTAGATTCCCTATGTGTCCTTGGGAGGCAAGACAGGCAGCAACTAGTCTGTGTCAGGCTGAGAAAATGCTTGTGCAGCTGGGGTCCATTGCAGATAAGTGGACCCTTCTATCTTCATAGTCTGGCAGTTCCCAAAGGAAAAGAATGGGGCTTTTGCCATTGCTTTTCTCTTTCCTGTCCTTTTCCTTGCCTTTATTGCACCTGTCCCCTCCTGTGTCATGCCCCCTTCTGTTTTCTTCTCATTTTGTTGTACTGTCATAAATATGAAAACTTCTATAAGGACTGTGAACTCTTTGGTTTTCACGTGCATGTTCATTTCTCTGGTAATAAATATGGTTTTCACATAAGTCTCCTGATGTTGTGATTGCGTGTTGACAGATTTCATTAGTTTAAGGAATCTCCATGAGGATTCCTATTAATGCAGGTTCTCTGCAACTTACAATCTTAAAGAGTTTTCTAGAGCAGTGAGCGGTTAAGTGACTTGTATAGGGTCACAGAGTGTAGGTTAGACTTGAAACTAGGTCTTCCTGGCTGCAAGGCCAATTTTCTCTCTACTATGCCGTGATGCTAGCTATATATTTTAAAAATTATATATGTAATCTTTCTCTATAAAAACATGTTTAATGGAATCATAATATGTTGGAGCTAAAAGGGACTTCAGGAATTACTTAGTCTGACTTCTTCCCTTTACACATGAAGGATTTTGTCAATTGATGGCTCCTAATTACCATTCCTGGAATATATATTGGCAATATATATTGGCAGTTTAATTACCAAGAGATATGGTCATTTATAAATAAAAGAATCTTTGAAAAATCCCAAGTGTGAGAATGATAATTTCTATGAGGTGACTTAGTTTTAGGCTCAAAATTTCAATTTGGAGGTCTAACTTACCTTTTGTGTTTTAACTATTTAATGTTTTACTAGTTACATTTACTAATTAATTTATCAATGTTTAACTAGTTAATGTTTTAAATAGTAATATTTTATTTGACCCAAGGTGTGTGTCTTATATGTTTAAAGAATGATAATTGTGTTGCTTTATGAACTTTTGAGCATGTAAATGGCAAAATTGTTTAGAAAAACACTTTTGCTTTGAGCTTCCTTAAGTTACACAAACATTAAAGAATGATTAGTAAGGTTGCTTCTTACCTTAAAATAGACTTTGCAAATCTTAATTTGCAGTTCTTTTGATGATGATTCTTTTTTTTTTCAGGTTCATAATAGACGTGCTAAGAAGAATGTAACAGAAGAAAAACTTTGAATAGTTCTTTTGAGGTAAGAAATACTTTTAAAATAAGTATTAAAAAGGAATGAAATTTTGAGTTTTTTATTCTCTTCTTTGATCTAGTTTATCTTCACTCTGTGTGTGTGGAGGGGGGTGGAGTGGTTAGAAGGTTTCACAGCAACAAGATTTATGTCTTAACACATTGGTGTTAACGTTAAAAATATGATCTTAAAGAATTGGTGGTGATGGATGGTAGTGCCAGTAAATAAACTATGTGAATGAAATAAGTTTACCTTCATGTTTTGGGCTTAATTCTGATTCTCTTTCTTCACTTAATATTTAAGATATGCTGCAATTCCAAAATATAAACCAGGACTTTAGAACTCCATTCAGCTCTCTGGTGTTTTTCACCTGTGTGATTTGCTATTGGTAGACTTTAGTACAGGCCTGCACAGCCTGTGGAATGCCAAAGGATTTCGGATGTCCTGAAAAAATGTAATGATGTTTTCCTCTATGTCCTGCAAAAAATGTAATGGATATTTTCCTCTACATTTTTCCAGGGTCATCTGAAATCCTTTGGCGGCCACAGGTTGTGCAGGCCTACTTTAGTATATGGGCCAAACAGAGTATGCTTCTTTCAGAATCACTTTTAAGTGGTCAGCTTTCCAGATAAGAGAAAATATTGTTTTTCAGAAAACATTTTAATTTATATAGTCTTTCTATATTAAATATTACTTTGAAAACGTACCTATAGTTCTCATTTGACTAGACCCATCCTAACTATCTTTATGTGGAACTCTTTGTTATATATTCTTTTGTTTTTTCGAGAAAGTTGAGTTCTTGATTATATTTATAAAACATATTAATTGCTCTTTAAATACTTGGTTTGTTTCATCCCTTTTTGAAATTTTATTGATGTCTCTTGTTTTTACATCACACTAATTTCTGAATATACCTTTCCCACAAATAGTGAGCCTTCACTTGTTAAAAAAAAAATAGTTCAACAAAACCACTTATACATCAACCACATTTGGCAGGATATGCCATGATCTGTACCCATTGCTCCTGCACCTCACCAATGAAAAGAAGTTGTTGCCCTTATTTTAAATAAATTGGGATTGTGTTGCATGCTAAAGGTCTTTTTCTTTGCATTTTTAAAGAGCAGTAATTTTTTTTTTTTTTGGTGAGGCAATTGGGATTAAGTGACTTTCCTGGTGTCACACAGCTAGTGAGTGTTATGTGTCTGGGGCCAGATTTGAACTCAGGTCCTCCTAACTCCAGGATTGGGTGCGCTATCCATTGTGTCATCTAGCTGCCCCGAAAGAGCAGTAAATTTGATAAGCTGTTTATTCGCTAATGTGAGCCAGAGTTCTCTGAAATATTCACTCTAGAACTAATCTTGCAAATAACATTGATTTTACAGTACCACATAAGTATGAGACTTACATAGATGCTATAAAACTTTTATATTGAAGAAATTTTATTTTATATTTATAAAATATATATTTATTTTATATATATATATATTTATATATATTTATATATATATATGTATATAAAATATATATACCCCCCCAGGGCTGGGGCTCTATTCACTGCACCACCTAGTTGCCCCTAAATTTTATAGTATATTTGAGCTCATACATGAAAGTTTTTACAAGGATTGTAGATTCTCACCATTAATGATATTTTTAGTGTGCACCAATTACATGCTTTAACTGATTTTTTTATATGCAGTTATCTAATAAACTGCTTATTTTGTTATGTAAAATATTTACAAACTACCTTTTGCATAGATTTTATTTTGCTGTAGGTCAAAATGTTTCTTGTTTAATTATGCACAAAGCTTTAATTTGGAAACTGTTATATAGTTGTCATCGTTGGCACTCTTCTTGCATTATAAACTTACGTAGGTTTCTGTTATAGTTGTAAGATATAATTTTCTTTCAGATTATTCCTTAATATCTTTTTATAAAACTGAGAAGTTATTAAAACATTTTAATTTGGAAGAAAAAAGTGAAATGTTAAGGTGTTTAAAAAATTCAAACATGGGTTTATATTTACATGATTATGCTAACATTTGTTCTTTAAAACTTTTTCTTTTTGTAATTTTGCTATAGGCTTAGCTACAGCATTTTTGTCCAAAATTATACTATGTTTTCTATGTACTTTTATGAATAGAAAAAATAAGTTAAGCAACATATTGTGTCCTTTGATAAGTATAATAAGTAATTTAAGAAATCACATGTTCATCCTATATTCGTCATAAGGATTAAAAAAAATCAGAACCAATTTGAATCTAAGTATGTATATTGTATGGAAAATATTTTAGGTTATATGGAGCAACTTACCTAAAAATATTATGTTTTAAATTTTAGTAAAATGCTCCAAGAATATAAAGGAGAGCAAAGAATTGCCAGCATTCAAGATGAATGTTACAAATGTGTGCCCTGTATCCTGCCAGTTAAGATTTTTTGACTCTTTAAGCCAAGTATTTACAGCCAAAATAAGCAGAGGAGGGAGCATTTATCTGGCTCCTTTCAGCAGTGTAGTCTTCTCTTGTTTTGGTCATTTATGCTAGAATTTGGATGTATAAGCTAGAATTATTTCTAATTAGTATATAATTGCACTCTTATAAAAGGTTAAAATGCTGAGATACTTCTGTTCAGTAAATTGAATGTTTTGCTAAAATCTTGTATTGATTTGTTTAGCAAACTCTTAAGAAGTACCAAGATAAATTTCAGTCTGACCTGATAGGAATTTTTCAGGGTTTCAGTTGTTAAGAGTACAAATTAATGAGGATTTGCTGCTGTATAATCTATAGAAGGGCAACTAGATGTCAAAGTGGATAGCATGCAGGGACTGAAGTCAAGAAGACTCCTCTTCCCAAGTTTAAATCTTTCTTCAGACACTTACTAGCTGTGTGACTTTGGGCAAGTCGCTGAACCCTGTTTGCCTCAGTTTCCTCATCAATAAAATGAGCTGGAGAAGGAAATAACAAACCCCTTCAGTATCTTTTCTAAGAAATCTCCAAATGGAGTCATGAAGAGTTGGACATGACTGAATAACAACAGTCTAAGGCAAATTGCTTGCCTTCTCAAGGAGGGGGGAGGGAAGGGAGTGAGAGAATTTGGAATTCAAAATTTTAAAAAACAATTGTTAGAAATTGTTTTTCATGTAATTGAGAAAAAGATAAAATTAAAAAAGAACCAAAAAGTGAAGGTTTGCTGTATTTATATTTCCTGAACTGTTTATATATGATACAACACTGACAATATTATGTCTCTCTCTTTCTCTCTCTCTCTCTCTCTCTCTCTCTCTATATATATATGTATGTATGTATGTATTTTTTTTTTTTTCGGTGAGGCAGTTGGGGTTAAGTGACTTGCCAAGGGTTACACAGCTATTAAGTGTCAAGTGTCTGCTCTGACACTGGATTTGAACTCAGATCCTCCTGACTCCAGGGCCTATCCACTGTACCACCTAGCTGCCCCCCCAAAAATATTTCTTTAATATTTGTTTTTACAGATGTCTTACTGATACTCTTTTTTAAAACCCATCATGGTAACTTCTCAATTATCCTCTCTCTGCCTTTTCAACCTTTGCTTTTTAACAAATATCAGGCAAAACAAATTGATTCATTGGCCACGTCTGCACATACATACTAATGTACCTATTGTATGTTCCATTGTCCCCCATTGTTTTGCCATTAGGAATGAGGCAACTTTTACCGTTATATCTGCTGAAGTCATAATTGGTTACTGCATGGATTAGAATTCTGAAGTCCCTCAGTACTATTTTAGTCATGGAATAAATTATTCTCATATCTCTGCATCAGTTCATACAAGTCTTCTCATGTTTCTCTGAATTCTTAGTGGTTGGCATTTTCATGATAATCCACAATTTCTTCATCTGTTCCGTATTTGATGGGTACCTACCTACTTTCCTTCTAGTTCTGTCTATTGCTGTTATAAAAAGTACTGTTAAGAAATTCTTTTGTATATGATGGGACATTTCCCTCTCTCTTTGAATTTATTGAGGTATATATAATAACCTTTTAGTGGTGTCATTAGGTCATAGTATATATAGTGTAATGATTTTTAGTTTAATTCCAAATCACATTTGTATTAATAATGCATTTGTGTGTCTATTTCTGCAGTTCTGCCATTGTTTATCATTTTTGTCATCTTTATCAATATAATGGATGTGAACTGTATGATACTTGTTTTTCCAAGATCTCCAAAGCCCTGAGTTCTTAATTTTCATTTTCAGCAGTATTTTCATTTCACTGTCATACGCTGATGCTATATATAGAGAGAAAGCATTTATTAAGAACGTACAATGTTTAGGACCTGTCCTAAGTACTGGATATGCAAATTTGGGCAAGATAATCCTTTTGTTAATGAGCTTACATTCTAATTGAGTGACCACAAAAAGCTCCCAGCTACATGATGTGTAAGCAGTTTAGAGACCTGGTTGCTAGCAACATAAGGTGAAAGCTCACCCTATCACATCAGGGCATCCCAGGGGTGGAATCCAAGGTTGAGTTGGAAGGTGGTGTTGGTGGTGGAGATGAGGGTAAAGAGTAGGAAACTTCTTTCATGTTAGGAATTGCTAGTAGTAAATAAGTTCCACCACAGTATAAATGGAAATGAAGTAACTGCCATTCTTCTTCTCCACTTAATTGTATGTGTGCGTATTTGGGAGTAAAACAAGAGAGCTACAACTTGACATATTATCAAAGCAGATGTAGTAGCTTTCTATTTCTTCTAAGCAAACTTTAAACACCTTTCCTTTGTATTCAGTCTTTTAGAGTATTGTAACCTAACTTTCCAGACTTAATGTATTGCTCTATTCTACCCACTCTGTGCTCTAGCCAAACTGGACAGCTTTCTGTCCCCAAAATATGGACTGTCCTGTGCACAGAAGATGTTCTGTGCTGTCTTCATATTTCTGCTCATGTGAATCCTTATGCCTGTAATTACCTTCACTATTCTCTTCACCTATTAAATTCTTACCCAGCCTTTAAATTCCGTACTACACACAGACA